GGGGGAAATGGGGGGACACCTATAATATTTTCAATAATAAAGATAATTTTAAAACATATTTTAATTACATAAAATAAATAAAAATACATCATGATCAAGGGTGGTTCAACATATATAAATCAATCAATGTAATACACCATATTAACAAAAGAAAGGCTAAAAATCATACGATCTTATCAATAGATGCAGAAAAAGCATTTGATAAGATACAACATCCATTTATGATTAAAATACTCAATAAAACAGGAATAAAAGAAAAATACCTAAACATAATAAAGGACATATATGATAAACCCTCAGCTAACATCATAGTCAATGGTGAAAAACTGAAACCTTTTCCTCTAAGATCAGGAACAAGACAAGGATGTCCACTCTCACCACTCTTATTCAACATAGTTCTGGAAGTCCTAGCCAGAGCAATAAGGCAAGAGGAAGAAATAAAAGGCATCCAAATAGGGAAGGAAGAAGTAAAACTGTCAGTTTTTGCAGATGGCATGATTCTGTATTTAGAAAACCCTAAAGACTCCACCAAAAAACTATCAGAAACAATAAACAAACAGTAAAATTGCAGAATACAAATTCAGTGTACAAAAATCCATTGCCTTCCTGTATACGAAAAAAGACTTCAGAAAAAGAAATGAAACAAAAAATTCCTTTTGCAGTTGCAATGAAAAGAATAAAACACCTAGGAATAAAGTTAACAAAGAACATGAAAGACCTATATACTGAAAATTACAAAGCATTATTAAAACAGATTGAAAAAGACACAACAAAATGGAAAAATATCCTGTGTTCATGGATTGGGAGAATCAACATAGTTAAAATGGCCATATTACCCAATGCAATATACAGATTTAATGCAATCCCCATAAAAATACCAATGTCATTTCTTAAAGAAATGGAATGAGAAATCATCAGATTTATAAGGAACCACAAAAGACTCCAAATAGCCAAAGCAATCCTGAGACAAAAAGAACGAAACTGGAGGTATCACCCAATCTGACTTCTACAGAACTACGATAATCAAAACAACATGGTACTGGCACAGAAACAGACTTACAGTTCAGTGGAAGAAAACTGAGAGCCTACATATAAAACCACATGTATATGGGCAGATGATTTCTGACAAAGGAGCCAAAAACACACAATGGAGTAAAGATAGTCTCTTCAGTAAATGGTGCTGGGGAAACTGGAAAACCATATGCAAAAGAATGAAATTGGATTAGTTTGTCCCCATGAAGAAAAATTAATTCAAAATAGATCAAAGACCTAAATATACGACCCAAAACAGTAAGTTACATAGAAGAAAACATAGGTACCGAACTTACGACTTTGGTCATAGAGAGCATTTTATGAACTTGACCCCAAAGGCAAGGGAAGTAAAGGCAAAAATAAATGAATGGGCCCAGCCGGGCGTGGCTCAGCAGTTGAGTGTCGACCTAGGATCCAGGCGATCGGGGTTCGATTCCTGGCCAGGGCACATGCTAGTTTTGCGGGCTCGATCCCCAGTCGGGGGCGTGCAAGAGGCATCAGATCAATGACTGTCTCATCATTGATGTTTCTCTCTCTTCCTCTCCTTTCCTCTCTCTGAAATAAAGATTTTTTTTTTTAATAAATAAATAAATAAATAAATAAATAAATAAATAAATAAAATAAATGGGACTATATCAAATTAAAAAGCTTCTGCACAGCAAAAGAAACTGACAACAAAACAAAAAGTCAACCAACCAGATGGTAGATGATATTTGCAAACAGAAGCTCCTACAAAGGTTTAATTTCCAAAGTATATAAAGAATTCATAAAACATAACACCAAATAATCAAACAATCCAATCAAAAAGTGAGAAGACCTGAACAGACATTCTCCTAAGAAGACATACGAACAGCCAATAAATATATGAAAAGATTTTCAACCTCACTAACAACTACAACGAGATACCTCACACCTGTTAGAGTGGCTATTATCAACAAGACAAGCATAAGTGCTGAAGAGGTTGTGGAGAAAAGGGAACCCTCATTCACTGCTGTTGGGAATGTAGACTGGTTCAGACACTATGGAAAGCAGTCTGGCCATTCCTCAAAGAATTAAGAAGAGAGCTACCATATGACCCCCAATATCTCTCCCGGGTATATATCCAAAAAACTCAAAAACATGTATTCGCAAAGATATATGCACCCCCATGTTCACTGCAGCATTATCCATGGTGGCCAAGACTTGGAAACAACCAAAGTTTCCTATTACAGAGGACTGGATAAAGAAGATGTGGTACATGTGCCCAATGGAATACTACTCAGCCATAAGAAAGGATGAAATACTGTCATTTGCAACTACATGGGTGGACCTCGAAAATATTAAGCTAAGTGAAATAATTAAGTCAGAAAAAGCTAAGAACCATATGATTTCACTCATATGTGGGATATAAAACTGAAACTCATGGACAGAAACAGCAGTGTGATGGTTGCCAGAGGGGAGGTGATATGGGGCGAAGGGGGTCCTAATATATGGTGACAGGAGATATGATTTTGGTGGTAGGCACACAGCACAATATACAGATCTTGTAACATAGAAACCCACACCTAAAACCTATATGATCATATTAACCAATGTTACCCCAATCAATTTAATAAAAAATATAGAAATAAAAATAAAATTCAGACTGCCTTAATTGATATTTTACCACATTCATTCATTTAACAAATACTTATTGGCCCCTGCAATGTCACAGACACTGCTCTATGCAGAGCACACACAGCAGTGAACAAAAGACCAACAACCCTACTTTCACTTCCCTCCTACTGGAATATCAGCAGCATCATTTCCTGCCATATACAGTCCACTGCACTCATTTAGGTTAGTGCCTGGCCCTGCAGGCATATAGCTTATACTCACTGACTAACTCTAAAAAAAGAAAAAATATATATACTTAAGCTTGATATACTCTTTGATTACACAAATAATGTAATCTAAATCCTAAGTCAGAAACCTACAGCCAAATTTGATTTAATGAAAGAACCGGAAAAGTAAATAAAAAGAGTGACTAGTTCTCTACTGAAATTTGAAAATACTGCCAAGTCACTTTTCCTCATATTTGTGTTAAATAATTTTTTTGAAAACCCAAAACAATTAAATATATAATATGAATACTAAAATGCATTGGGCAAGAGAAGGGAAAGAGATCAGTCAGAAAAAGAGTGATGAATACCTGCTGGAAATGAAGCTTGATACCAAGGTATGCCTGAGACATAATAAAGGCCTAGACAAAGGAAGGTGTCCTCCACCATGGAACCAAAAAGTACAAAGGAAAAATAGGCCTAAGTAAATAGAAAATAACAATTTCTAAAATTAATATAACTACAAATATGTAACCTAATGATAAACTGAAATAGCAAGAGAAATTAGATTGGATGCTCTCTCTAGAATGGAAGACCCAGTGGTTGAAATTAGAAAGTGCTGTGGTATTGAAATTGAGAGCAATGTGGAAATTAGAAGTTTTATGGAGCCTGGAAAAGAAGATGTTTACTAGAAACTAAATATTTTTCAGCATGCATCCAGCAATGACTAAAAGCAATAAACATCAATGGCTGGATATATAAAGCATTGTCTCTAGAAAGCACGATTTACCACCTGAAGCCTGAGAAACAGAGTCATATAAATGTAATAATATATAATATTCCCCATGCTGATCAGAGAATCTTCTCCTGCTTTGGGCACCTAAAGAGATCTATTTAGCAAAAAGTTGATTCTTCCAAATCAAGTATTCTACTTTATGCCATTTCATCACTACGGTGAATTAATAAGTTGATGTAATTATAAAACTAGTCCCTTGTCTTATGAGCACAATTCAAGGCTAGACCATTTTCACTGATTTGGGAAATCTATTTGAAATCCATAAGGATTAGGTCTTCAAGAATAAATAATAATGCTAATTTTTGAAACCTTCCCAAAAGGCTGTTTATAGGATGATTCAGACTCTGCTCTGAGTTCTTGTTGGAGGAAAAGGGCATGCAACATGACACTTTTCTGAGTGTCAATAATAGCATGAACTAAACATCAAAATGCTAAGAAGGTACCAAATAAAAGTGAGAATTGTATACACAGAAAAAGTTTATTCTGTAGACAAAGAGGGGGAAAAAGAACCAGAAAGATGTCAGACAAGAAACAAAGACTTTGGGTGGTGAGCACACAGTGCAATATACAGATCTTGTAACACACCTGAAACCTGTATGATCATATTAACCAATGTCATCCCAATAAATTTAATTTTTAAAAAATTTTTAAAAAATAAAGACAAAGAATTGATCTAAGCTTATGTGTTTTCCCTCAAAATCATAAAATGGAAAAATGTTTCTTTTATTAGAAATAGAAAAAAATGACAGGCATTTGGACTCCTTTTTCAAGGACTTTGACTCCTTTCCCTTCTCTCCTTTTTCTGTGTCCTATTTCTTCCCTTTTACCTTTAGCTTTTCCTTGCCTTTGCTTCATCACACAGTGAGGGAGTGGGCCAGCCTCAGTCCAATCTCAGTCTCAGCATTAAGACTTGTGTGAGCCTAAGGAGAGTCAATAAGACCTGAGTGCCTGGATATTCCTTATTAGCTGTGTGACTTTGGACAAACTGCTTTATCTCTGTGTCTCTATTTTCTCATTTATAATCTAGGAATAATAACAGCAGCCCACCAGGTTGATGTAAAGATCAAATTAATATAGGCAAAGTGCTTAGAAATGATAAGTGGTGTTAGCATCATTACATTACATGTTGCATCTCACTTTCTACCAGAGGCTTTTGTATGTGCATGAAAGACCTGGCTTAAGCCTTAGTTCTTGAACATATAAAAAATAAAAAGAGTTTATTAGTCTAGGTTCCGGAGAAAATAAGGAAAGAAAAATAGAAAATAATAATTTCATTGCAATTCTTTCTTTATCCCATATACAGGTATATGGATTTTTTTAAATATTAAAAATATTAGTTTGTTTTTATGTTTTAAAGGGAACAATAACTTTACCTGGTTTTTCCACTTTTATAACTTCTGCTCCAAGATCTCCTAAATTCATTGTAGCAAAAGGTCCTGCCAGTACTCTACAATGTTAAACAATGACAAATAAATCACCCTCTTAAAGATTTTTATATTAATTTTCTAAATAGTCCATCAACACAGACAAGCTCATTAATGCTAGTAAGAATTAAAATTGTTAGAACTATTCAAAAATGTAACTTGGCCATATGTATCAAGAGTTTTAAAAAGTATATTCCCTTGGATGCAGTAATTCTACTTCCAGTATTCTATCTTAAGGAAGAAATTAAAAGATTACTAAGACAAAGATTTATGTAATAGGAAACCTATTTTATAACAGTGAAATATCAGGGGATGATTAATTTTGTGAAAACTATATAATAAAATATCATATATTTTTGTTGAATTCTGAATGACATAGAAAAACATTCAAAATATAACATTATGCTTAAAATGTGCATAAAACAATCATTTCAATATGGTTCAAATCTTTGTTTTTATAAAATATATATAAATATGCAAATTGGAAGGAAATGCAATTAAGTATTATACTGTCTTTTAGAATGATAAAATTACAGGAATTTTTCCCTTTTTTCTTTCCAAAATTTTGATACTAAGCATATAAGCACCCTCTTATAATTTAAAAAGTACATGAATGTTTTTTGAGAGAAGGTTAAAACTCAACCACCGAAAAACAGATAAGCCAATACAAACCTTGTTAGATCCAGAATTTTTACACCCTCCAATGGCTTCACATTGTCAGTATCTGGCAAAAATACAGAAAACTTAAAGAGTACTGATTAGTAATTTTCAGGAGGAAGAATGCAGAATTCTTTATACTGTGTTTTAAGCAATCTCTGCAAAAAAAAAAAAAAAAGTGTTTTTCCTTTTACATTGTTTCTGCTTTACATGTAACACAGGAATCTGGCCCTGATCCAATTAAGTCAATCTGTAAAAATTAAAGCCTCCAATCTCAGATTATTCCCAATTAAATAAATCCCCAGTTACACTTAAAATAGTTTGTCTAATGAAAAATAAAAAGTGAGAGGGCGAGAGAGGATAGGCTGAGCAGAGGATTTTTAGGGCACTGAAAATACTCTATATGATACTATAATGTTAGATACATCACTACACATTTTTTCAAACCCAAAGAATATAAACTGCCAAGAGTAACATAAAAGTATGGACTGTAGGTGATTATGATGTGTCAATGTAGGTTCATCAATTGTAACAAAAGTATCCTCTAAGGGAGGCTGTGCATGTGTGGGGGTAGGGAGCATATGGGAAATCTCTGTACATTCCTCCCAATTTTGCTGTGAACCTGACACTGCTCTAAAAATATAGTCTTAATAAATAAATAAAAAGTAAACAAAACAAGAAAAAAGCACTAACAAAAAATAACAATAAAGACCTCTGCCTATTTGTTCTACATTTAACACAGGGAGAAAAAAATGAATTTTAAAAGTTTATTAAACAATTTACAATCATGTGCCCATTTCCTTTTTCTTTTCACCCATCAGCTTTAAAAATAAAGAGACAGCCCTGGCTAGTGTGGCTCAGTTGGTTGGAGCATCATCCCCATGCATTGAAAGGTGTCGGGTTCAATTCCCAGTCAGGGCACACACCTGGGCTACAGATTAGATCCCCCTGGCCTATGTGCCCAGGTCGGTGCGACTATAGAAGGCAACGGATTGATGTTTCTCTCTCACATCAATGTTTGTCTGTTTCTCTCTTTTCCTCTCACTCTAAAAAAATCAATTAAAAAATATATTCTCGCCTGGCCGGGCATCGCTTAGCAGTTGAGCATCAACCTAGGATCCAGGAGATTAAGGTTTGATTCCTGGTCAGGGAACATGCCTGGGTTAGGGGCTGGATCCCCAGTCAGGGGCATGCAGGAGGCAGCCAATCAATAATGAATCTCTCATCATTGATGTTTTAACTCTCTCCCTCCCTCTCCCTTACTCTCTCTGAAATCAATAAAAATGTATACTTTAACAATATATATGTGCATATATATATATATATATATATATATATATATATAT